GTCGTCATCGACCTACCGATCGACTGCATCTTAAGTTTCCTTTTTCCCGCCGAAACTGACGTTCTCGTTCCAGTCCTTTCCCGGTCAACAGACGTCGTCGTCGTGAACTTCGTCGTGGTTCTTAAGCTCCCTAATAGCTTAATTTAGGTGCATTACAATATTGTGAGCTCGAAAAATTACTGTACACGTGAATACTGGAAAATTACTGTCTCGTGTAGTAAAGAAAACTTCTGTAAACGTAGGATTGGGTGTGAGTTCGCCGCCGGTCTCTGATCGCTGAACATGATTGTATTAGATTGTTGGATCTAGATTGAAATAAACCGTTTGTTTTTGAAAAGTATACAGTCCTCTTGATTGTGAAGTGTACCAGCGTACGGGGTCGTAAGAAATCCCCGACACCGGGTCTTGTTCTGTTTTAAGGTATTCAGGGTTTAATAAACAGTGGTCCATGTGTTTTTAGGGTTAGTTTATTGCGAAATTCTGATTATTTTATTTGATACAAGGACATGCCAGAAAAAATGAACTGGGAAATATCTCAAAGGTGAGAAACTTGAAACAGTGGTCCATGTTTTTGCAGGGTTAGTTTATTGCGAAATAATTTATATCAGTTGCGTCCGACGTTGCGTTCAAGAATGTCACACTCGAAGCCAAAGCATCCGTTCGACACATTAGTTATAGGAAGTTTAGCTACAAATAGATAATTAAAGATGGTTTTGCTGTTTAACACGCGTTCTATTACATTTGCAGTGTTGGTTGAACTCATTATGAGATGTATAAAAAAACAATTGTTCATCCTAGGCATGTCATGTATGAGGATTTTCATTAACCCAGGAAACAAAGTGTAAAAATTGAGAAAACACAAAAGAGAACAAAAGAATTACACTCAGAAACTCTAATACGAAAACTGCATTTCAAAGGTTCATGGTAAATACATGGACAACCACAAGAAGTCTTCATTCGGGTTTTAAAAGGTCGGGGGCAGATTTAGTGACAACTATAACTAGTATTAGTCTTATTCACACCACTTGTTGAGATGATATCCCCTATGAAATCCTCTTTCCCGTCTACTGTATTTTGCGTATTTGGCTGTATTTTCCACTTAGGTGTCGTGCTCAGTTGACAAAACGCAACTAAATACTTAACGTACTAGACACTACGGCCCGCCATGATTTTCTACGTATTCGGTTAGCATAGTACGGCCAGTCAATAAGTTTAATTAGAAAATCAACAACTTTGCACGTGCATCTTATTGTTTTATCAACATTTCTTTGCCATCACTTCACGACCTAGACGTGAAAATGCCTAACTTCACTTTTTATTAACAACGTAAACAAACGAAGACGAACTATTTTCCTCTGTATGAGTTTGCCTATACATTTGACAAAATAAGCGACTTGTAACATTTATCGCGAAAAAGAATGAAAGAATGGCAATTCACTTTTCATTAAGAGGCAACGCTTTGACCGCTATAGTCGTCGTGGTACCTTGAATTTGAGGCATTGATGCGTGGCGGGTAAAAATACTTCCGGTCACCGTACTAGACCCTTTCGAGGTCGTTGCTTAAAGTCTCTTATCAGTTCAGGGAATTGGTTGTCTGTTTTTGTACATAGTCTCTTTCAGCAAGAGTCAAATCAAACTTGGGCCACGCTCGGTGTTCTTCTAGTGATCAGTTTCTTTTCTCTGGGCAGGGATTAGGTACATTAAGATAAAAACAAGTAATAGATTTTTAACACACAAAATCCTTCAAATTTCGCAAATTCAGCCTCGATATTCTTATAAAATATATCTTGTTATAGGAAAAAAAGAGTGTATTAAAGTAAAAGGTTACTATATTTCTACTGTTTTAGAAAATGTTTATTCTCAGTAGTAGATAATACGGGTGCCATATGACTATAACATTTCTTTAACATTTTCAGCTTCCCATTCATTTTTTATATAAAACTTTTAATTTGTAATTCTAGCGACCATTTTTTTAGCTGTCTTACTCTTTTTACATTGTATTATTGTAGTTTTGAGGTTTACCATCGTTCTGACGTACTATCTTGTAAATTAACTAACTGTAAATTTAATTGTCACTGAAAAGCCCTCTTTAGAGAGTGTCATTAAAGTTTGTATTGTAAGTTTGTATCGCTAGTTTTCAGTGTCATGCCATTCAAAATAGATCAAAATCAAAATCAAAACCATTCAATAGATAAAGTCCGGAATCTAGGAAATGAAAGGAGGTAAATATACCAAATTGCTGGCCAAGATTCAGGTCAGAAGAATATTCCGTATACGAGATATCCGAAGAAATGTTTTACCCAAATTTATGGGTGGATGGGCACCAACGTGGTGGACGGAAACCAACAAAAACATTTGTTTCCGAGTTTGGGTACAAAAGCGTGAATATATTCCTCGAGGAACTCATAAACAGTAAAGTAATACTTTTTCTAATTCTTAAACTGTTTAGATAGCAAAATTCCCCGAAATACGTCATGTAAATCATGGCCACGTCACGCAAAAGCTTAGAAACTCAAACGTAGTCTATCACAAAAATATGTGAGTAAAACCAGCGTCACTTCCATGCTAAACAAATAAGAACTTTGCACCCTTGAAGAAAAGAGAAAAAGATCTCGTTTGATCTTCATGTATAAAATTATTCATGGTTTAGTTGATATTAAGATTAACGATTTTTTAAATTTTACGAATGCCGCCCGTACCAGAGGCATTAGAAAAACGCAAAAAGGTAGTTTTTTTTTTTTTTTTTAAATATTTTTTAATTCAAGCATTTCTTACGTTTACATACAAATTAGAAAT